GTCCGGTCGACGACCCCCCCCCCCCCCCCCCCCCCGACTCTTCGCACCCCGTGCCGACCCTCCTGCGCGCTTGGACGTGCTGACCCGCCCCCCCCTCCCTTGGGTTGATCGTGGCCTGGTGAGCATAACCTGGGCGTCCCGCACGCGCGCGCGCGCGCGGGTGTGCCGGCCGCGCGAACACCCATCCAACAGGGCCGGGAGTCCTGGCCCGCCAGCCCCAGCCGGCGGTGGGGAGCCCGACATACACATACACACATCACTCAACGCGAACTCGCGACGAGGGGGGGGGGGGGGGTGCACGCCGACGTGCTTGTGCGGGACGGACGCCGGGTCTCGGCGGGCAGAACCCGCGGCAGAGCGGCCAGACCCAACGGCAACAGCAGCAAAGTGCGCATGACCCATACTTGGCCCAGGCGCCGCGGAGGCGGTGGCCGGGTGCACCGACGGAAAAATGCTCAGGGGGATTCATTCCAGGCGCGGGCGCGTGAGGCCGCCCGAGCGCATGTGATCGATCAAGGACGTGAGTTTCCCTGCCAATGGTTGGGCGTCCGTGACGCCCGGGGCCTCCTCGGCTCCCGGGACCGAGGGGGCGGGGGCCGTTGCCGGCAGAGCGGCGATCTGGCGGCCACCGGGCGCGGAAGCGGCCCCACGCGCGGGCCGCCGCGGGCGGTGTGCCCTCGCGGCAGGCGGCAGGCTCCCGGCAGGAGCAGGCGCATCGATGGCCGGGCTGGGAGGAAGTCGAGCCGCCTCCAGCAGGGCGACATGTTCCATCAGCCGGCGGATTTTGGCCTTTTTGGCGTTGAGGATCTCGGCGAACTGCCAGGAGGCCGGTTAGTGCGCCCGGCGCGGGACCGGTGCTCGGACGGCCTTCCCTCCCCATGACCCCTGGTGTATATCGCCCGCCGGGCTCTTGTGGCTCCCCTCCTCTCCCTTGCCTGGCTGCCTGCTGGCCCCTTCCCGCTGGCCATGAACACAATGCCCCTTGCGCGCGCGAGGGCCAGGCAGGAACGCACCGCGGTACAGAGCTGGTCGTCGCGCTCGCGGCGCTTCTGAAGGGCGGAGCGCAGGGCATGGGCTGCGCGATTCCGAGTGTTCCGCGCGTCGCGGGTGATCTGCTCCACGGCACTGGCCTCCTGCAGGAGGGTGTCCCGGTCGGCTGCCAAGGCCCGGGCGATGGCGGCGAGCTTGGCAGCTGGCCTGTCCCGGAGGTGAAGGTGCGCCTGGCCAACGAACAGCTGAAGGTGATGGGCCATGCCAATGTGTCGGCACGTTAGCACCTTGGCGCGTGTGTGTGTGTACATACGTATGTATGTATGTGTGTGTGTGTGTGTGTGTGTGTGCGTGTCTGTGTTTTTGCATGATGGGCGCGCGGTTCATGTGCGGGCTGGCTCGTGCACTTGCAGGTCGGCACCCGGCTGCACGCATTCTTGCGGACACCGGCATGCATGATGCCCAAATGCCCGCCGCACTTGCGAGCAGGAGGCCAGCCTCGGCCCAGTGGCAAGGACGCACTTTGAGCCCGGCCCCACCGCCAGGCTGACGAGAGAGGGCCACCTTCCAGGACAGGATGCCACAGCAGCCTCCGGTGGAGGAGCGCCACTCCAGGCTGCCAGACTCTGCGAAGCAAACCACCCCTCCCGCCGAGGGGGGGCAGTCGTCTTTGGCCATGGGCACAAGTTGTCCACCGAGGCGGGCTGCGGGGACTCGATCACCCCGAATAATGTGTGCCGCCAAATCCCGGACCGAGGGATCGGCCGACAAATCCGCGCACAGGGCAAGCCCGCTGCCCGGGCCCGGGGGCGCCTTCACACTGAAGAGGCTTTCTCCCCCGTCAGATGTGAGAACCAGCTGGCGCAACTCGCCAGGGCCGTGCCAAAGGGAAAAAACTCGCAACAGGTGTCCCGCCACCAGAGGACGCCGGGAGCCGGGGTCCTCGGGTCCCACGACGCAGGAGCACCCGGGGGGTGGCTCGACACCGGCCGGGGCGAGCACAGCAGTGCGGGCATGCCATCGTGGCTGCGGCCCCCCGGCCGCCTCATCCAGGGCAATCTGGGGAGTGGAGTGCATACGGAAGGCAGGATGGCCGGGCAGGATGGTCCTGTGTGTGTGTGTGTCTATGTGTTTGTGTGTTTGTGTTTGTGTGTGTGTGTGTGCGTTTGTGTACGCGCCTGTATTCGCATGTATCGGGGTGTGTCAGGGGGTTTGTGTGCAGGACGCGTGTGTTTGTCCACGCCGGTACGTGCCAGTATGTGCGCGTGTGCCTTTTGTACGCCTCGCCCCCCGTTCCACCGCGAGCCACGACGGTGAATGCTGAAGAGGTGACGCCAGATCGCGTATCCCGCCATCCTCGGACAAAAAAAAACGCACACCGCCGAGGCCTCCCCGGCGCGTCTCCCCCTTTGGCCCTTCTCCAGTCGCTGCCCCCATCCCCCCCAGGCGCCGATCGGTTTCTTTTTCGGGAGCGCGATCAAAGGTGTATTCGTTGGCACCTGGGCCCCTGGCTACGGGCCGTCCTGCCGGAGCAGCGTCTCGCCGCACATGGGACACCCATTGGCCGCGAGCTGGCCGAAGAAGGCGTCCGTCGGGCACAGGAACCGGGCCGCGCAGTGGACACACCGGGCCAAGCCCGCGCCGGGGAACCACAATGGCAGGAGTGACAGCGAGCAAAGCCCTGCCGAGTGACAAAGGGAGGGTCAGTTCCAACACAAGGCCCGGAGCAGGGCGAGAGCGAGCGCAGGATGTGCGTGCGTGTGCGTGCGTGTGCGTCGGTATGCGTGTGTGTGTGTGTGTGTGTGTGTGTGTGTGTGTGTGTGTGTGTGTGTGTGTGTGTGTGTGTGAATGCGAGGGAGAGAGAGAGAGGGAGTGCCGAGGGGAAGGAGGATGACAGGGGGAAACCTACCTACAGCGTGACCCTTCTCGCACTGGAGTGACTCCGGCGGGTGCCCTGCCACGAAGTCCGGGAGATCGGCCGCCGCATTGGAGGCCGCTGCCCCGGCGCGAGAGAATTGCGCCTCCAGCAAGCAGGGCAGGCAGGTATACTGGCGGACAGGGGCGCCCGCGCTTGGACCACCACCCGGGACACCCTCACGCAGGCAAGAGAAGGCATCCAGACGCAGGAGATTGGCCAGGTCAGCCGGTGCACGGTTGGGCAGCACCTCCGCCGCACGGGCCAGTACCGCCCCGAGCAAGGCCCCCTCTTCGGCCCCGTGGAAGAGCCCCGTCCGGAGGGGGAACCCCCGGGACCGGACCACCCGCCGGACTTCGGAGCGCGACACCGGCCACCGCCACCCGGCGTCGGCCCCGGCCAGGGCGACATCCATGAAGGGAAGCCGCAGCTGGCCGCCAAGGGGCCACACCTCGCCGAGGAAGCCGGCCACCTCGAGCCAGGTGGCCGCGAGCCGCCGGCCGGCGGCCGGGCGTCCAGCAAACCGCCGGATGGCCAAGTCAAACGCGCACACCAACCCGGCCAGCAGCTGGTGGAGCTGCACCAGCGGGTCTGGGCTGCGAGCCAGGCTGTGCAGGCGCCGCACGTCGGCCTGGAGAAGATCCACAGGGGCACCTGGCCCATGGGCCAGGGGCCCATTGCCCTCGCCCTGGTCCACGTACCCCGGGAGCAGGGCCAGGAAGTCGGCGCTCGAGCGCAACGGCGGCCCGGCCCCGGCCGCCGGGTCGGAGCTCGGCGCAGTCACCGCGCTCGGCGACCCTCCCTGCCCGGTGGTGATATCACCGGGGGCATCCCCCATCGGAGGTGTGTCCAAATTTGCCGGGGCCGTCACCGATTCCGCCAGAAGTTGGGCCTCGTCCTGCAAGTGGAGGAGCATCTCCCCCAGGGCAAAGGAAACACGCGCAGCGCCATTGCCTGGTCGGGTGGGTCAGTGAGGATGGCTCCTGCGGCTGGTGTGTCTTCCCTCGACTCTCCGCCCCCCTCCCCTGCTCTTCCGCCTACTTAGCTCGTGGGCAGCCGCATGGCCAGGCATTGCCGTGGTGCCCGGAGGACCAAAGCCCGGGCAGGGAAAAAGGAGGAATCCGCCAGTCGGAAAGGCCGGGAGATACGCACAGTCGCCGAGCACCCGCTGGAGCAGCCAGCGGTGGTAGTTTGCCGTGGCCTGGGCCACGGCCGGGAAGAAGGGCCGCACATCGCGCGCATACAGGCGTGCCACGTCGGCCGCCAAATGCCGGCTGGCGGCCGACGGCGTGTCTGGCTCCGGGCAGAAGGTCCCAGCCAGCAGGGCCTCGGGGCCCAGACCGACCAAAGCCTCCGGCGCCACGGCAAACAGGCTCGGCATGGCAACGACATGCACCACCGGGCTGGCCAGCTGGAAGGCCACATCGTCCAGCGGCGCCAGCAGCATGGCCGCCGTGTTGCCCGATAGCCAGGGAGCCAGGCCCAGCAGGTGGGGAAGGGCATGCGGCGCCAGGCCCACCGGGTTACACTGCGCGTCGTGGCCCGGGCCCCCGGTCGCGGATGCGGTCGAGGAGCCGGCCGCCAAGTCGACACCCTCCGGGCGGGAATCCTCCTGCGGGAGGTCCTGTGCCCCGCGGTAGGGCGATAGCTTTCGCACCGCCGCCAGGAGGATCTGGCGGAAGTGGCTGGGCACGGCATTCAAACTTGGAGGACAGGGCAAGGAAGGCAAGGGAGGCCGGGATGGCAGGCGGCTCGGCATGTCAGTGAGTTGATCCGGGCGGAGAAAGCCACAAGGTCCCCCCCTCCCTTTTCCCCACCCCCCCTCGCCCGCGCCTCGGAAGGGGGGGCCTTCTTGCTTGCCGCGCACCGGAGAGATTCAGCTGTACGGCCAGTGCCGGGCCCGGGGGACGGCACATCCACGCGTACCACCAGGCAGTCCAGGTCGCTTGTGACCGCACAGAAGAATGCCTGCATCGGGCACCACTGCAGGAAGACGGTGCCACTCAGGGGCCGGCGCAAGGCCCGGAACGTGCCGCTCTCCACGCCGGCGGCCAGGCGAAGCTCCTCCCGCTGGAGCCCGGCCACCGGGCGCAGGGCCGCCGGCATGCTGGGCTGCTCGGCCGGCTCGGCCGGCTCAACCAGCTCGATCACCCGCACGGCCGATGCGGACACCAAGCCCAAGCGCAGGCGAACCGAGTCGCCCGAGCCCACCGGTAACGGGGTCGACCAGCAGCTGCCGGTGAAGGCCCGGCCGAAGGCCCCCAGCGGCGACGCCCGACCGCCGGGGATGCTGGCGAAGCGCACGCTTCGCGAGGCCAGGCGCATGGGGCCGGTGGCCCCCTCGGCGGTCGGGGCAATCCCGACGCGCCAGACGGCCACGCTGCCGTCCGAGCAGCCTGCCGCCAGGAGGAAGTCGCGGCTGGTGCCAGGCTCCTCGCGCCAGATCGGCTGACAGGAGATGAATGTCACCGAGCCGGAGCCCGGCAAGGAGAGGTGCCCTACGTGGGAAATCTTGCCCTTGGATCTTTGGTTGGGTGATGTGTGCATGTGCGTGTGCATGTGGAGGCATGGGTGCATGTGTCCGGGCAAGTGCCGAAGTCAGAAGGGTGGACAACGCCCAGGCAGAGGCAAAGGGGAGGGCGGAGAGGGATGCACGCACGCGGGGACATCCCAGAGGGAAACCATGCCACACCGATTCCCCAGCAGTAGGAGGGAACGCGTGGCGTCGGCCAGACGAATCGCCGGCGACCAGGCCAGAACTGCAAGTCCGGTGAGCGGAGGCAGCACGCAGAAACAAGGGCAAGCAGGGGAGGCGAGACGGGAGGGGAGGGGGGGGGGGGCGGGTGCAACTCCCCCATCAGCGGGAAACGGGCTGCACACGCACCGGAGGTGGTAAAACAATCGATGGAAAACAGACGCCGAGAGAAATCAAAATCGAAGCCGGAACGATAGTCCATCGAGGCGAAAAGGCCCTGCATGGAGGCGGACGCCGAAGGCACGTTGATGGCCTTCTCCAGGGGCTCCGGACAGTCGTCCGCGTCGTCCAAGCTGCCAGGAGATGGCAGGAGTAGTAGCAGCAGCGGGAGCAGCAAAGGACACGGGGAGGAATTAGCCGGCGGACGAAAAGCATGACACAGGAAGAGGCCGGCAAGGCGACGGCGCGGCGGACGGCGCACCAGCTGGCCGGGCGCTTCTTGCTGCGGACCGGGGCGCCGGGTTGGCCGGCGGGCTGGAAGCCGAAAACCTCCAAGATGGACGCCTGAGATGCCAGGGTCCGGGCCAACTCCGCCGGATCCATGTAAGGGGGGCGCCAGTGGAAATAGACGTCCCCACCGAGAGCCGACTGGTGGGCTGGCGAATGGCCGAGCCACCGGCCGCGCGGCAGCCCATCGCAATCGGACACCAGGGCGGGCTGGGCGTCGTCACCGCGGAAGCGCAGCGCCAAGCTCCACTCGAGCACGGCCTCCGACAAATCGGCGGTCTTGGTTTGGTCACAGGCAGAGAGGGGTCAATGCCGGGAGGAAGGAGAAGCCACCAGGCGCGCAGAGCGCCCCCGGTGCCGCCACAAACAAGCTCGGCCCGCATGGACGCACCTTGTCCCAGGCGTCGACCTGCGGGTGGCCGGTCGGGGCATACACCGCCACCCGGCCCATTTGGCTGACGGCGGCGAGGATGCACCCGCCGGAGGGGGCCATACCACGGCCCGACCAGGCCGCCTGGAGGAAGGTGTCCTCGGGAGAGCCGGACCCGGCGCCGAGGATGGCCGTTCGCTCGGCCGCCGGCCCGGCGGTGATGCCGATGTCCGAGCTCCCGGCACAGGCGCCGGACCCGACGTTGGCCCCGGAGATGCCGCCGATCTCGGCGTCCGCCAGCCCCGGGCGCAGGTCCACAGCCTGGCCAAAGATCGCATTCGGCGGGAGCGGCCCGAAGTGCGCATACCCGCGGAGCTTCTGCAGCTGGGCCAAGGACGGGGCCCGGAGGCGCGAGTTGTTGGGGATCGCCCCAACCAGCGCTCGGAAGCGCAGCGATCCCAGGGGAAAGGGAATGGGCGTAGGGCCGGGAGGGCCTGGCCGAGCCGCTAGGCCATCGGGCGACCGGGTGTCCTCACCTGCCGCGGCCTCCGCCGCCGCCGCCTCCTCCTCCTCCTCCTCCCCCATGGCTGGGGGCTCGTAGCCGGGCTGGAGATCCGGCCGCACGCGGAAGGAGGCCAAGGGCGACTCGTGAGGCGCGGCCGGCAATTCCGGCAGCTGGAGGATGGTCGTCCGGGCAAAGGTCGGTCCCGCCTGGAGGGACTGTTGTCGGCACAGCGACCGAGTCGGCGCGCGCGGCAGCGAGGGAGGGGGCGCAGGAGCGAGAGGGGAGGAGACAGGAATTGGTCACGATCAGTGGCGGTGGGGGGTTTCAAAACCGAGGAGGGCAGGAAAAGGCCGAAGAGAGGATCCCGGCAGTTGACGGACCAACACGGCGAGCGACTTCCCGGTGACCACCACAAGGAAGCCGTCCTCGGAGAAGGTGATGTTCCCCCGGCCTCCCGGCGGTGCATGGCAAGGGGTCGACCCGAGCAGCACCGATGGCGACGGGAGGACGGGGTTTGGCAGCTCGGCGGCAGACTGCATTGGGCAGACGGGCGGCGGCAGGGGGCCGGGAGCAGGGTGGCAGGCTGGAAGTAGGAGGGGGGAGCCGCGGGCCGAAGAGGAGAGGGGGAACGGAGGGGAGAGGGTGTGTGTGTGTGTGTGTGTGTGTGTCTGTGGGCGCGCACGAGGCGCGAAGGAGAGAGAGAGAGGGGGGAGTACTAAAAGGAGGAGGCGAGTGTCGGGCCAAGGGAGGACAGGAGGCGGGATGCTCCAGCCGGTCAGACGAGGGCGCCAGGATAGTCGCTAAAGAGAGGATCGCGGAGAGGGAAAAAAGAGTGCCCCCCACCGAGGTCGAACTCGCGCCCTCGTCGCGAGATGACGCGCGCCGGCCGTCCCCCCGCCAATAAACGCGATATTCCCACCCTCGGGTGGGGCGGGGGAAGCGGGAAGGGCTCCGGTCGGCGCGCCATGCCCCGGTTGCCCCAGGGGTTAGGCAGAGGGGGAGGCGCTTTGGCAACAGGCGGGCCGACAAATGCAGGGCAGCCCGGGCGCGGCCGAGCTGGGGCGCTCAACTGGCGAGCTGCCCATGCTTGGGGCGCGGGCAAAAAAAAAAAAAGGAAACCATGCTAGGGGATCTCTATTGGGGGGGGGGGGGGGGGGGGGGGGAGCAAAGGCAAAAGCACACGAGCGCCGGGCGGGGATCCTTGCGCGCGGCGACACCGGTGTTGTGGTGGTGGTGGCTGCTCGGAGAGCGCACACGCCTACGCGACTGCCGTCGACTCCCCGGCGGTGATCTCCACCACTGCTGGCGGGCGCTTGCCGGCCCGGATGACCAGCCAGCGCTCATGCAGGGTCAGGCTTCCGAGCAGGGTTTCGGGCAGGGCCGGCAGCGGACCGGCCAACGGCTCGACCCCGGCGCTGACAGCCGTGGCCCAGGCCGAGGTGGCCAGATCGCCATCCTCCGGCTTGTCCCCGGTAGCCAGCAGCCCCTGGTCCAGTGGCCGGCGAACTTCGGCCGGGCCGATCTGCCGGTTGTTCACATACAGGGCCCCCTGCGTGGCCAGGCGAATGGCCTCGCCTGAGTGTCCGCACCCCCGCGAGGACGGCCAACCAGAAGGGAGAAGGGAGCAAGGGGGAAGTCAGCACAGGGGCCCCGACAGGGCGGCAGGCCGAAGCCGTCCAAGGGGCAGGAGGGGGGGGGGGGGCTGAGGCAAAGCCAACAAAGAGAGAGAGAATGCCCGAGAGGGAGAGGGAGAGGGAGAGACACGCACCGCGCGAGGCGCACAGGCCCACATCAACGCACAGCCCGGCCACGGTGACCGGGGCCTGGTCGGTCCCCCGGCGCAGGATGTCCCCGATCGGGACCCGGTGGCAGGGGACCACGCTGGACAGGGCGGCGAGCTTGGCATCGGTAGCCAGGGCGGTGATGGCTCCGACCGCCGGGTTGACCCAGGCGTCCAGAGTCCACCCTGGCAGGCCGGTCGCCGTGAGGGCCGCGGCCAGGGCACGCCGCGGCGCGGACTCCAGCGGGCGCGGCACCGGGCCCAGCTCGCGCGCGGTGGCCGACGTCCGACCCTGCTGGATTTCCGACGAGAAGAGCAGCCGACTGGCATTGTAGCTCCGGATGGCGGCCAGCTCTGCAAGCGTGCCAGCCCGGGGAGGGGAAGAGAGAGAGAGGGGGGGGGAGGGGGCGACCACTTAGAGAACAGACAGGCGGGCGTGAAGGGAGGGGGGGACAAAGGGGCGAGCGGGAACCCAGGCAGGGGGGGGGGGGAGGCTCCAGGAGGGCCGGAGGCACGCACCACCATGCACCAGGCGCGTGACCTCGAAGGCCAGGACATTCTGCGCGACGCCCCGCTCGCCGAGCGTGTCGGCATGGGCATTGAGCACGGCCTGGATGGACGCCGGCCCGAGGAAGGTGTAGTACTGGAGCATGCGGCCGACATCGGCATCCGGGACTGCGTGGCGGAAAAACTGGAACAAGTGGAAGGGCGACGTCTGCGCGGCGTCCAGCCAGATGGCATTGCCGAGGGACTTGCCGAACTTGCGCCCCTGGGAATCGGTCACCAGGGGAGTGGTCATGCCGATGGCCAGGCCGACATCCGATGGATTGGCGTGGTCACCGGGCCCGGGGGGGGCCGGGCCGTCAGCGCGCCACCAGCCGGCCGGCTTCAGCGTGGCCGCCGTGTCCGGCATCGATCCAATCAGGTCGACACCGGCCACGATGTTGCCCCACTGATCGCTGCCACCGATTTGCACCCGGCAAGATCGGTCCCGGAAGAGCCGGTAGAAGTCGTACGCCTGCAGGATTTGGTACGTGAATTCCGCCAGCGACAGACCATCGCCGGAGTCCCCGCCCGTGGTCCCGGCCGGGGCCAGCCGCGACCGGATGCTATCCCGGCCGATCATTTGCTGCACCCGGACCCGGGACCCGACGTCCCGCAGGAAGTCCAACAGCCCAAGCCCCTCGTAGAAGCGCCGATTGTTCAGGAGCTCCACCTGGCCCCCGGCAGCCCCGGCCCGAGCCGCACGCGTGGCTAGCCCCGGCGCCGCGGCCGTCGGCCCAGCCACCGGCACCGGCCCGGCGCCCTGCAGCATCCCGGCGACGGTCCGGCGCTCGGCCGCCACAGCGGCAACGGTCTCCTGCTCGGCCTCCGCCCCGGGCGAGGCATTGAACAGTGCCTCCGGCACCTCCACCTCGGCCAGCATGTGATCCAGGTAGGTGGGCGCGAAGGGGTACGCCCGGGCCTGCTGTGCGGCCAGGCCCTCGGCATCCCCGCCGAAGAGGGTCTGCCGCTCCAGGCGATGCGAAAGGGCCAAAGAAGAGCCCCGCAGCAGCAGCGTGGCCAGCTGCTGCTCCAGGGACGAGGCATTCGAGGACACCTGCGACTGGGCCTGGTGGGTGCGGGAGGTGGTGCGGAAGCTCGGGTCGCCGACCTCGCCAGTGGCACCGCCGATCTGCACTCGCGAAGCAAAAGCGATGGCGGTGACGAGGGGGCAGCGGCCGGGGAAGAACAGACACCAGGAGGGAGGTGAGTCATGGGGGGGGGGGGGGTGCAATGCATGAGGGTGTGTGTGCGTGGGTGTGGGCCTGCGTCTGCCTTTGCGCGCGTAGGAGTGTTTGCACGCACCAGACCCACGGCATGATGGCCAAACGAGGCGAAGTGTGACAGGACAATGATGCTGATCAGGTTGCCGATGTGCAGGCTGCTGGCAGTCGGGTCGAAGCCGGAATACGCGCACAGCGGCTCGGCATCGACCGCCGAATGGTATGGCAAGTCACGGACACCCTCACTGCAGCAGGGAGAGGAGGGAGGGGCATGCACGTTTGGTCAGCTGAGAGAGGTGTAGGGGAGAGAGAGAGAGAGAAAGAGAGGGAGAGGGAGAGGGAGAGGGAGGGAGAGGGAGAGAAAGAGAGGGAGAGGGAGAGAGGGAGAGGGAGAGAGAGAAGGCCTCATGCGCGGACTGCGACGCACTGCGTGATGCCGGCAATCAACGAACGCTGGGTCAGCTCGCGGAAGAGCTCAGACACCGACGGCCGGGACACATGGCCGGCCGGGTCGATCTCCGGCTGGACCACCGTTTCGGCCCGAAGAGACAGCACATTGAAGGGGGCCCCTTCCACCGGGTCAGCCGGGACCGGGGCCACGCTCGAAAAGCCCCGAAGCACCGGCCCAGGAGGCAGGACCGACCGGGTGAGAGGCAGGGAGACGCTGCGGCCCAGGAGGGTGCGCGTCCGGGCGGCCAGCTGGGATCTCATGATGCTACCGCGCCTGAAGGAGGGGAGGGAGCAGATAAAAGGAGGAGAAAGGGAGCGAGGTGGAAAGGGGGGGGGAGGAGAAGGATGCGCTTGATCGGGCCTGACTTGCGTCCTGGGAGTGGCCGCGATAAACCTCCCCCCGGATCGTATCCCACCGCCGGCCAGCGAGGCTGGCAAGGCGCCCCCCTCCCCAACCCCGAGAGACACAGCACAGACCGAGCGCGCCGTCAATGGGCAAGGGAGCCGGGAGGCTCCATGGCATTAGTACGCCGCCGCAGGGCCCAGCTGGCAGCCCTGGACAGAACGTGTTCCGCGTGTGCCGGACGCGCCTCGCAGGCCGCTCCGGGCCTGCGCGCATGCGCGCCTGGAGGCGCGACTGCGCGACGATCGGTCCCATGGAGCGCGCACGCGCGTCGGTGGCAAATGTGTGATCGGATCGGGGATTTTGGTCGAAGATCTGGCCTTCGCATCTGCTTCTGGAGATCCTCCAGAACAGATGGTTACACATGCGCCCAACAAACACCGAGAGCGGAACGTGCCATCTCTCCCACGGGGGGCCGCTCGGGGCGTGAATGTGCGCGTGCGTGCGTTTTACGATTCTGCCCTCCGAGCATGTTGCACCATCGCGCCTCCAACGGGGAGGAAAAAGCCCGGGCTGAGGCGCGCCCCACATCCGAAGACAGGGAAGGGGCCCGGGAAAGGGGAGAGGGAGCAAGAGGGGAGAGGGAGGGGTGTGGTGCGCCGGGGGGTACTGTATTATGCAAGGGCCGCCAAGGCCGAGTGAAAGAGAGGGGAAGGGAGAGATAGGTAGATAGAGGGGGCGCATGCCGAGAGGCGAGGAGTGGAGGAGGAGGAGGAGGAGGAGGAAAAGACGGAGGAGAGCAGGAGGAGGAGGGAGGCGAGGACAGAGGGGAAGCCCGCCACCCGCCGGGTGGCCGCATGCCCGGGTCTCCCAGGCTCTCGTTCATTTGCACGCTGCTGGTCCCCCTCAGTTGGCGGTGGCCGGGGGGGCGGCATCAGACTCGTCGGCGGTCTCGGCGCTGCCGTCAGGGGCATCGACCTTTGGCGTCGTGGAACCCATGTACGCCTTGGCCGTGTCGACCGGGCGCGCCTGGCCGAAGGGGTTGGTCGAGGAGCTGCTGATGTAGGTGGTGGTCCGAGCGGGGGCCGGGGTGGTGGCGGAGCCGCTGGCAGGGCGCCAGGCAATGGGCTCGCCTGGTGTGTCGCAAGCCAAAGAAGCGAAGAGGCAGAAGGGGGGCTATTAGCAAGACGGTCGCTGGCAACGGGGGATCCCCGAGGGGATCCGAGGGGGCGGGCGGGGGGAGGGGGGGGGGATGCGCACGAGGGGGGGTAATGCGAGCCGGCTCGACGAAGACGATCGGGCTGTTGGGGATGTCAAGGCGGAAGGGGGTGTTGTTGCGAGACCCGATGACTGAATGGCGAGGGATCGAGGAGAGGAGTTGGGGGGAGGGCGCAACCAACGGCGAAGGGCGGTTAGAGGATTATTGGGGGGGGGGGGGGATGGGGGCCAGTGACTGAAGGAAGCTGGAAGCGAAGGACCACAGTAAAGGAAGAGGCGAGGAGGGAGGGTCTCGACGTACTGTGAGAGAGAGCGTCGGCAGACTCGACCTCGAAGCGGCAGCACAAGGAAGACTTGACCTGGAAAATGTTGACATTGGAAACCTGCGGACCGGTGGGGTCGGGTGTGGAAGCATGGCGAGGCGGCACACGGCGAAACGTCAGAAGGATAGTTCTCCACATGTGAAGACAACAAAAGGCCATTGGCATGAGGGAGAGGGAGGGGGAGGGAGAAAAGAGAGGAAGGAAAGGCCCGAGGAGTGTGGCGTACAGCGTGCGGCGAGGCGAAGTGCTCAATATCCTCAGGCGTGGTGCCCTCCGGCAAGCCACGGACGAAGGTCACGAAGGGCGGCGAAGCGGGCACAGGCGGAGGGCCCGAGGGGCGAGAGGGCTGCGCGCGGAAGCTGGACCGCATGAGGGGCGCAACACCATCGCGCATGGGGGCCGAGCGGCGGTCGTCATAGTGCTGGCGACGGTCGTCATAGTGCGAGGGGCTGTGGCGGCGATCGTCGTAGTGCGAGGGGGCATGGCGGCGATCGTCATAATGCCGGCGGTCATCGAACTGGCGGCGGTCGTCGTAGTGCCGGCGGTCGTCAAACTGGCGGCGATCATCGTAGTGCCGGCGGTCATCGAACTGGCGGCGATCGTCGTAGTGGTGCGCCGGTGCGTGGTGCTGGCCGCCATGGTGCGGGTGGAAGGGGGCATGCGCCGGGGCATGGTGAGCGCCGGCGTTGCGGTCGTCATAGTGGTGCTGCTGGTGCTGCTGCTCGCCGCGCTCGAAGTGCCCGTCATGGAAGCGGTCCCCACCGCGCGGGTGGTGCTGGTGGTGGTGGTGGTGGGAGTGACCGCCGGGCGGGGGGAAGCGCCCGTCACCATGGCGGCTCATGTCCGACCGGCTGAAGCCATCGCCACCGTGGTCACCGCCGCGGCGGTGGTGGTGATGGTGGCCGCCATGGCGCCCACCGCTCAGGCTGGCATTGTGAAGCTGGTGGCTGAGCTGCTCAGTCGAGCGAATGGGCTGGGCCTCGGCTGTGAGGCGCATCCCAGGCATCCGGATAGGCGGGGAGGGATGGAGGGGGTAGGTGTGTGGGAGGCCGAGAGGTTAGCGTGGGGAGGTTGTTGGTCGTCGTGGCCGTTTCTCGCGAGGGCAACGAAGCGAAGGGGTGGGATAGAGAGAGAGAGAGGGAGGGAGAGGGAGGGAGAGGGAGGGAGAGGGAGAGAGAAACATGCGCACACTCAAGCATGGGGCGGTCATCGACCTCGCCATCCCAGCAGGGGGTAGTCTGGAAAGCCTCCAGCGAGAAGGTGGAGGACTTCTGCGCCTTACGGCGAGAGGCCGAGGTCTGAGTGGGCTTCTTGGGGGTCTCGGAGGAGACGGAGGACGACATGGCAAAAGACGAGTGGGAAGGAGGGAGGAGGAGGGGCGGGGGGGGGGGGGGGGGGGGGGGGGGGGGGGGGAGGGGGG